TCAAGTTTCTTTACAGCAACCTGCTTCCCATTGTCTAGAACTGCAAAATACACCCTCCCATATGATCCTTCACCAATTAGAGACTTTGAACCAAAATTATCAGTCTTCTCTTTCAGTTCCTCTAACGATAATGCAGGCACCTCAATAGGAGGGGGTGTTTTTGGGGGTTCACTTTTGGGAGCAGTGGAATACTTTGAACCTCTGTGTGGTCCTGGAATGATTAAAAGGGAACCTCAGATAATAAAAAAGTAGAAGCAGCATGGTAAACAGTATCAAAGCTCTAGTCCAAGTTTATGACAGCACCAGATTCACAGAGTGTACTGCAATCCTGCATTTGACTTAATTTACAATCAAAACCAAAAAGAAAAAGATAAGTCAAAAAAGAAATGAGAGATAAACAAAGAACACCGTAGATGGAAGGCTATAAAATTGGTTATCTAAACTATTTTTTTTTAAAAAAGGGTGATCATTAAAATCAAAATTTGTGTCCCGGATGCCCCAAGAAGTGATTGCAAATACAAGATCAGCAGTTCTAAAATATATACCATAGCATGAATCCAGAAGGAACATCAGTAACTCATTATCAACAAAGGCCCTACAGGCATAATGTCAATCACAATATTCTATAAAACCCAAAATTCTTTTGCAAGCATGGTCTTGAATGTTGGCCAGAACCAATCAGGATTCACTTAAGCCGTCACCTATTTGGCTGAAAAATCAGATGTTATCACTATGTAATTCACCTTGGGAAGAAATCCATCTGCGGCAGAAACAAGATGGTACACCTAACTTGTAGTAACTTATATAATGATTCAAAGATAAATCTTCAACTAATTAAAAAACAAGAAGCCTCACAGCTATGCAAATACAAAATTGAGTCTAAACAATATCATGAATTGAATACAAGCTAGTCAATTGAGCTCAGGACTAGCTCACTAGAGAGAATAAGTCTAAGTTATCTGGGTATTGGAGTGTCAGTAGGCTGCTCTTTTGGTGATATTGTATGTCTTAGACTATCTATTTATGCACATAATAGATATAACTTCCTTTCCTATAGCAAGAGTTCCATAAGATTTAAAACCTCATATTATAAAAGGTTAAGTAAATGGATTTGTCGCATACCAAAAGATGGGAGACACGTGTTCCTATTTCCTTATTAGACTTGAGAGTTCAAGTTAGACAAGAAAAAGTAACTACTCGCTGCAGTTTCTAGGATAGGGAGTAGGTCAGAAAGAAAGAGACTTGCATATAAGTTCTCTTCTTCGGAAAAGAGAAGATGAAAGCCATCTCCTTATTCTAATGTACAAAAATTTATTGTTTTATGTTGCAGAAGCAAATTTTCTATTGCTTACTGACTAAAACTGATGTGAACAGCATGAGTAATTTCTCAGTTTCATCCTCTAAAATTAAATGGCTTCTGTTACAGTAAAAACTGAATGCTTTACTACGTCATCCTGATACATATATCACATACAGAGGAATGAAGATTCAAGCCAAAAGAGGATCCCAAAAGGAACAGAAACCTCCAACTTGCTACTTAAACAAATCGACACAATCTTCACATAGGAATATGCAATTATAATGAGGTATACGATACTATGAAAAACAATAATGGTCTTTAAATGGTGGTGCAAACAACATACCATCTGTATTATTTGTTGGGCTCTTCCGGTATTCATTCTCACTGACATGATAAGGCTCATCCACCTGATGATAACAGCACAGCCAGCGCCGCATTTTACCCATCTTCTCTGCCTCTTCTATGTAGTGTATGTACCTTGATGTAAATAACAGACAATCAAGTAATGATAGTGGTAATACGTATTATATAAGTGATCATGCATATGATGAAAATAAGAATTTCATCTGATCATGCATATGCTGACAATAAGAAATGCAACCAGCACTTATGCTACAAAAGAACCAATAATAGCATGAGGTAATCCAGCATTCAAATAATATAAGTGAAACTGATGCATTAACATGTCATATCACAAACAAGAATACAACAAATTACATGAGTGTATATATACCCACACGCCAAAAAGCGACCGAATTCTTTTCGAAAAGAAAAGACAGGATGTTGCATAAGAAAAATTAACTCTGAAAATCGTGACGTGAATAGCAAGGAGAGGATATTGCATAAGAAAAACAAAATTGCCTCATTTTTCACTCTACCAATCGTGACATATGCATCCATCCAACAACAGAGTCACAACAACTGACGCAACACCGGATGGAAAACAAGGAGAGAGACTCAAATCAATATGAAATCGAAAGAAGAATGACGATCCCCACTAACTTTCAGAAACCATACCGCAAACGAGAGTAAACCGCAAAAGGTATCAACTTTCGGAAAAATTCGGGACCTTGACAAGGAGGAGGACCGAAACGAAACGTCAGCACAAAATCGACCCGGCCGGTCACGTGTTCGACAACGAAACGTAAAAAGAATTTAGTACAAAATCCGGTCAAATACGGGGACCGGCCCATGCCGGGATCGTCGCGACCTGACGCATTGAACTGATGGATGGAGAGAGAGAGAGAGAGTGGATCTTACCTGGAATCGAGAAAGCTCGGGAAAGGAAGTCCGTCTCCGTCCCAAGGGATAGGGTTTCTCGGGGGTGGGGGAAGGAGACGGGGACGAGGAGGAGAAAAGAGGGGAGGAGAGAGGAAGGGAGGAGCGGAAGCACCGAATGATACCGCGTCGGAAGCCTGGGGAGCTCCCTCTTCTTAACCTCTCTTTTCCCCCTCTCCTTTCTCCTTTCTCCTTTCTCCTCCCTTTCTGCTTTTACCCCAGCCCGGTGAGGATCGGTCCATATTTAGAGCGGACGGTTGCGCCGTTTCGATGGAGATGGGGCTCGTAGAACTGACGGTCGAGATGTGAAGCTGGTGGGCTCCATTTAAAGACTTACCATCGGAGACAGTCTCTCTCTTCTCATTAAATCGGACGGTCAGGTCGTTTACGATGGAGTTGGAGCCCACAATGACGTGACGGCCCAGATTTGAAACTGGAGTGCACTCGGTAATCCAAAAAAAATACGACACGCTTAAAACGGACGGTTGCGCTATTACAGCGGAGGACGGGCCCCACGAGAACCGACGGCTGAGATGCGAAATTGGAGAAATCCGTTCAGAAAGTAATGCGAGACCGTTTCCTTCTCGATTCCGTAAGTCGTATTACGAGCGCCGTTTCGACCGAAAAGTGGACCCCACGGGAACCGACGGCCCAGATTGAAACTTGGGGTTTGCATCTCAGATTCAGTACAGGAGATGGTTTCTCTTTTTATTTTATGTATTTTATATTAGATTGTTCGTTTCTTGGGTCATTTATTAGTTGTTTTTTCTTTTTGGTTTAATATATTTGCTTCCTATCAATCTTTTCTCATTATTTTTCTTGTCTTACATTTTCATTACTATTGTTTATTTTCTTTCGTTAATACAATTCACTATTGGATCCTATGAATACATATGAACGATTTGATTATCCATTATTCACAGTCCGTTGATATCTCACTAGCATAATATTGTTTAATGGTAAGATATTATAGCTGGTCTAATCTTATTATAAATCTTCAAATGAAAATGAGAGAATAATTTCTTGGATTTCTTATAAGGAGTTTAAAAATTAATTAAAAATTTTTTAGATCCCTTCGATATTTGTATTTTTCTTTGTACCTTTTTATCATATTTTTTTATATTATAACAAGAATAATAACAAAAACTTAATTTCTAATTATTTGAGATTAATTACATGGATCTTTTTTATATCTATAAAAAGATATATACTTAATCATAATATTTATTTTTTTATAATAATTTTTATGTAAAATAAATTTTAAAACAATTATATTGGATTATAAATAATATAAGATGGGAGAAATTGAAACTATAACACTCCATTTAGTTAATAAAATTAAAATTGACTTATGAGAGTAAATTAAGATTAATTTATAAGGGTTTAATTTAACACTATAATTCCCTCCTATAGAAAAAAAAAAAAGGCCTGCAAACAATTTTTCTATTAGGGGGGGCAAAGATACACATAAACACATTATAAAAGTTAAAGAAACTAGAAATTTTTTTGTACTTAATTTAGGTTGTCTAGTCAGAACATCCCCATGATAACAATGATAATGATAATACTTGATTGCCAAAATATATTTCCTAATTTTGTTTTGCTCTGATAGTTCATCCTTCTAACCCACCCCAAAATATTTCACCTAGATTATAATAATTAAGCAGGTTTTTCTATCCAAATTATTTTGGAAACCTTATATAAATGTGTGTATAAACCTATGACCGCGTTAGAAGAGATTGAAATAAACCTAAAACTACTTTAATAAATATTATAAGTATACATTTAAATAATTTTAATTTAATTAATGATAAAAAATTTTAGAGAGTCTGACAAAAGATCCATATAACTGCCCATAAATAATTTTGATATTATATATACTCATAATATCCACGAGAAATTTAATTTATCTTTCATTCGAATAATTTTGATTAGTTTAGGTTAGTCTCGATGTAACCTAAGTTATGTGATAATATCTACTCAAGACAAAGAATTGAAGATTAAAAATAAAAGAGTATTAATCAAGAATATTAAAATTATTTTTTGAATTAAGTCAAAAATATAATATTCTTCAACACATTAAACACTTTTTATAATACAATTGTAATTTTCTTAGTTCTACAATTTTTTTCCCTTAAACTTATATAAAAGGGCTGAAATATTATAATGCATGATAAGAAAATAAATCCACTCCCACATAATATGTGAATAATGGAAGATCCCAATTATTTTTCTTCTAATGATATAATTTCATCATCTATGAAAATGCGACAAGTTTTCTCAAACAAGATCTTCATGAAGTCTGATGAAAAATTTTCATAGCTCATACTGTACCTACAGTTTGAGATGGCTTATTATATGAAGGGTGATCGATGTCCCCACTAGACAATGATGATAATCTTCATTTTGCAGAACTCCCGAATAAAGGCTCTCATCAAATCTATTAATAATTCTTGTCATACATAATCTGATATATCACTACCATACCAATTAAATATCGAACCAATATTTAAATCCTTGAACCTATAGAACCCTACAAGCAACTTGACTACTATACTAAAAAGAATTTCATTCACCATGCACAGCAAAACAAACATGCATAGATCGATGAAGACAGATTCCATAAGAGAAGAAAGAAGATTACATATCAGAACAAATTTCATCCATGACACTCATTTGAATAATGGAAGATCGTTCTTCTTCAGAACTTGCCACTAAAGTGATCGGCTCTTTTGGTGAAGTTAGTTGCGGATCTTCATTAGTTAGCATCATCACAACCTCTGCCATTGTCGGTCTGTCTTCGCTGTTTTCTTGCACGCACAAAAGACCTACTCGGATGCATTCCAAAATCTCCAATGTAGGCGTCCAAGAATCGAGCGCTTCATCGAGTATCTCTAGAGTCCTGTCTTCCTTCCATAACTTGAATGCCTGCACGGTCATGCATGTTGAGATCAGTTATCGTACCAGAAGCAACAACCCGAAACTAGGGAGTTCCAAGGCAATCGTTACAAGACTTACATGTCCTAGAAGGTTTAGCCGCGAATCTGCCACATTAAGCACTCTATTTCGCTTACCACTTAGGATTTCTAACACTATTACACCAAAGCTGAAAACATCAGATTTGAAAGAAAAGACTCCTTCCGTTATGTACTCGGGCGCCATGTATCCACTGCATGTGATATCTAAGAAATTAGCATACTGTATGATGGCAATACATTGGCATTTGTTGGTTTATTTCAATCGGTGGTGAAACTTACAGTGTTCCGACTGGTCTTGTAGTATTATTCTCTTCAATGTCATCTCCTTCAAAAATTCTTGCTATCCCGAAGTCGGATATTTTTGGATTCATGTCCTTGTCAAGAAGGATGTTGCTTGGTTTAAGATCTCGATGAACAACCCTCAAGTAAGAGTCATGATGCAGGTATAGAAGTCCTCGAGCAATCCCAATAATAATGTGAAGACGCTTTTTCCAGTCCAGCAGTGCACTCTTTGTTTTATCTGAATCAATCCTTCAAAATTATGTTAAATAATCAGAGTAATAGGAAACTCAATTGGAATTTGTTGACCGTGTACATAAGAGAATTGATAAATACATTCCACCTTTCAAGAAAATAATAGTGACTGCCAGAATTATAAGATAAAACTGCAATCATGATATTGTTGACTTCATGTTTTTAATCACAGTTTTAAAAGCCTATAAATGTCCAAAACTTCAATGGGTCCCTTTTCCGTTCAATTTTAACTACAGCTGTAGTGCTAGGCCCTATATCACATAATCTCACACTTTTCCTAGTAGTTCCCATATATTCAAAATTAGTAAAAATGATATCACATTTGATGGAAATCGAGCCACATTCCAAATCTATATTATGTGTGAAAAGAAGAAATGCCAAATTAACTTGGATTTGAGTTCAATTAAACATGTAATCATTCTAGTCCACCTTGTTTTTAGAATAATCCTAGTACTCTAAATTGAGCTTTTGTAAGTATCATAAGTTGCCACATGATAATCTACTTTATTTTCATTGTTCAAGCCTTCAAGGAGAAAGAAAAGGAAGCCAAAATCTAATTACAAATTCAAATTTACAAAGCTTGATTAAGGATCTCATCCCTATAACAAAGTTCAAAGCTAATTACAAAATCTACATATATGAAAACTTATCTCAGTGACATTGGGATTCAGGGGATGTAATTGTTGATTGTAATTTTCTTTAATTATAATCTTGTAAATTTCTTTTTCTACTTGTACCTATGGGTATAAGAAAAGGGGAAAGCAATTATAGCTAGGAAGACTAGTGAATGAATGAAATCGTTTTTACCCACAACACTGTGAGTGATATGATGCCACAATCTTCTTCTTGAGATGAGTTTGAGGGATTCAGAGGCAATCTGAAACATCTATTTAAGCTCTATCTTCTCCTCACTTTCCCAATTATCCTACCTCTTATATCCTACCATTACATATGCACTAAAGCCCTAAGACCCTACTATCGGATACTTTCCCTTGCCCTTACACACCAAAACCCCATAAGCATTGAGAAATCAGAACCACTGGAGAGTTGGCCAAGCTTTGGAAACATGTGGTTCAACCACATGATGGAATAAAGATATTCAAGAAGGGTGGTCTCAATGTCTTTCTCTGTCATCATGACCAATATGTGTCTGAACTTTTGCTACTTGTGTTTTCATTATTGTGAATTGGTTCTTCTATGAATTCAGCATGTTTGTTCATATCCTCCTCTTTGTTTTATCCTTTTTTTATTCTTTACTTTACCAATCCTATTCTCAATCTCCTTAAGCTTCAGCAACCTTTGAGTTTTCCTACATCAACATGCATGCTTTATAAATTTTTTTGTTGTAAAACTAGAAGCAAATATAAACAAGTGTAAAATCCAAAGAATATTATTACAAATCTTACAGGAACTTTTCATCTAAATTAGTCAAATTAAGGACATGTATATATTCCAGACTGAATAATCAATTAAATTGCAGAAACTTTTGTAGAGATAAGGTTTGATTGACATGCCTAGGCCCAGCCTCATGCACAGAGCTCATCTTTTTTTGCAATTATATTACAAACGTTTATACATTTTATACACATTTAAAGACATGATGTCAGTTTGATAAATGTTTACAAGAGTTGTGAAATTGGATACCTTAGGGACATTATATTGTGGAATTCTGTAGCAGCTAATAAAAAATTGTCAACTACTATGGTGGATGTTTTAGTAATTCTACAGCTTTTGCTACCTTAGGTGCCTATGGTTCATAAATATAAAAACTTTGGAAAAGGAACTTCTGCATCATTTATAATACTATAGAAAATTAATGAAATCAATTTCTCAAACTAATTTGATCTAGCAGTGAAATATTGAATGAAAATGATCAAGTAATGATACAAGTCTAAAAAACCATTCATGTCCAAATAAGAAAACAGGTCATTGAGTTCATCTATTATCCGACAAACTAGGCCATACTAATTCCTAAGGTACTGGAGTAAGACTGACCATATATGAAGGCATCCAAACTCTTGTTTTCCATGTACTCCAAGATCAGAATGCGCTCATCTCCTTCGATGCAACCAAGTAGGCGAACAAGATTCCTATGCTGCAAGTTCGCAATTAGTAAAAGCTCATTTCGGAACTCATCAGGACCTTGTGACGAGCACCTTGACAACATTTTGACAGCGATGTATTTTCCATCTCGCAACACGCCCTGTCAATTGTTGTATTTAAGTCTTGTTTTGTTCATGTAGCATCAAGAAGAATTTTGTAAGACTGAGATTGATACCTTGTAAACAATGCCAAATCCACCTTCTCCGAGTTTGTTACCAACGGAGAAGTTATTAGTTGCAGCCTTTATGGTAGACAAATCAAATGAAGACAGTACCCCCATCATATTCATTGGACCTTGAAAATTTTTTTAAAGATCAATAAACTCTGAAGTTTTCTTTAGCTATACTTGCATCTCATTCCTGACAAGCTTACTCAAAAAAAGTCAACCTTCTGATATCTTAGTCTTGTTAAAGAGAAGAAAATTGGGCAAGAATAGCATTCTGAATTCTAAATTTACTGACACAAAAGTTTCATATTAAGAAACAGAACAGTGTTCTGGTGTAATCCAAATTACAATCCTTTTTCAGATCAAGTATTGTTTCTGTTAAATATGTGTGCTCATTAAATAATGACTGCCTACCAGCTCTCTGATCCACATGTTTTGCAGGAATGCCAGTCCAGTAATCAAGTCCTTTCATAGTCTGTGGCTGGTTTGACTTGATCATAATGGTGTCTGTTGCATTATCATCGATTATCAGATATTGTTGCAGGCAAGTAAATGATTTAAAATTCTAAATTAGCAATGAATTGATGTGATATGTGACTAACAGGAATTGGTAATAATCGCTACAAAGCCGCTTAAAGGATCATTATGGATATCATGCTCATAATTGACAATGGACCACGAACTAACATAACCGTGAAGAACATCAAATTAACCTCATATATGTATTTTCTAAACATATGTGAAAACATTGACAAAATGGGAAATCATTAACACAATCAATGAAATATCTAACGGAAGTAACAAATAATACTCACATTAAAAGTCAACGAGTGGCTCACAAAGAACTGATCCAAGACAAACATTGTATATGAAAGTAAATCAATCTAGATAAAAGATCATTTTAGGAAAATAATGGAACCATCTGTCCTGTCCTTTCTCATTTCCTTTGTCGGTTCCATGAAAGAAGAGTTGTTTGATAACCAATGCTGTTAAAGCTATTGAAAACTTGAAGCAATTACAGCAACATAAAGGTATATGATTCACTTCCATATCTACAAGATATTAAATGTAGGGGTTTTAATAATTAGGTTTCATGATACTTGTCGGACAAGCTCTTCGGTTAAAAGCAAAAACATATATTTATCTCTGATTGTGCTTCATGTTAGCCTCTCATTGTAGCTATGTCTTAAAACTTTTGGCATCTTTCTACAGGGCACAGCACATGTAAACCTTATCATCAACAAATAATTTTGTATCCATCTATAAGTCCCTCTGGCCATATCGTTTATGTTACTTTTGGCGTCATCATAAACGAGCACACTTTACCAATGACTCTACCAATCCGAAAAATGTCAGAGGGCAACAGAAATAGCTTACCATATCTCACTCAGAAAGATCCAAAGATATTAACTTGTACAATGAGGCCATAATACTGCTACTCATAGTCTTAAAAGTACATCTATACTGCTTCAGAGATATATAGCTGTTGGACGTTGAATCTAGGAAAGAAAAAATATAGAAGTGCATAAAGAATATGCAAAACATGCCTTGTTTTCTTACCCTTCTCCACCACGAGACTACACAATCTAGTAAAGAAGAAAGATAGAAGTGCATGAAGAACCGGCAAAAATACCTTGTTTTCTTACTCTTCTCCGCCACAAAACTACACATATACTTGCCAGCAAAAGAAAGCTCAGCATTGTTGGGATGGTTATGACCAACACAGTCTTCTTAACATGATTGTCCATTGCAGAATCTGTTCGGCATACTTTGAAAATTAGAAAAAACATAAGTAACTCATGCAGCACAAAATTGGATTGCTAAATAAGTTCTACATATCGAGGATTCCAATTTCATGCCGGGTGTTGTAGTACATCCTTCCGCTAATGTACCGACACAGGATACACCAGTAAGTACGAAGGAGAAAGAAGGGAGAAGAGGAAGGACAAGGAGAAAGAGAAAGAAAGAAGACGAGGCAATAGAGGAAGACGAAGATGGAGGAGGAAGAGGAAGAAAGAAAAGGACCCCACTTGATCCAAAGTACTAAGACTAATAAGCATACTTAAGAAATGAATCCACAGAGATGGCTTGAGTTTGAGCTTCTATATCCATTATGGATATGGTCATCGTTTGGGGAGAAACCCATGAAGAGTAAAGTACTCGACAATCAATCTGCTACAAGAAGGAAAGAAGAACAGAGAAGACTTTGGCCTTCGGAGGTTCCCCCGATGGAAAAGAATGCTTACCTATGTTGGAAGCCAAAAGCCGAACATAAAGCTGATCCCCTCCTTGATTAAACTTCCTAAGGTCCATCAGATCACCACGCCAAGTCAAACAACCACTCCATGCAGTGACAGCATATGCCATGCAAGAACAATTCTTCAAGCACCAATCGCTACACTCGTCGAGGGTCATGTCGCTGTCTGTAGTAGCATTCACAGTATCAGGTAGCTTCACTGATCGCAAATGTAAGAACCCATCGGACGAACAACTCAAAGCCTCTTGTCTCACGCATCCATCAGAAAAATGATTCTGGTACCAATTCGCAGGAGACTTTGGAACAAATCCTTGCAGACATTGGCAGAGAACTGATGAGGTTTCGGTGCAAATAGCATTAGCTCCACAGAAAGCATAGAAGTCACACTGATCTTGTGGCACGGCCCACAGGGAGGTCCATCCACTGCTTGTGGCCGACCATTCTAACAGCTGAAACACTCCTCTGAAATCCATCACAGCCCGAAACAGACCAGAGTTGTTTATGGTATCAAATGAGAAGTAGACCTCTTGCTCGTTTGATAAAAATGCAAACTTCAGCTGGCTAATATTTCCCATCCGTGGAATGCCACTAAACACATGTCCATTCCATGGGCCACTCCGGAAAATTCTCAAGGATTGACCCTTTGTTATAATGATCTCCGGTAGTGTGCCTTGAGTTTCCATGGTGCAGGAGTAGGCACCCGGATAGGGGTCTGTAGCATTCAGCCATGATATGAGCTTTGTAGCATGGTTGGTTACCTTATCCAATCCAAGCTTCATGCCTGGTATCAACGTATCAGTCAAGTAGTCAAAGCTTTGCAACTCTGTAGTGTTCGAATCACGATCTTCCAGGAAAAAGTTTCCCGAGTCCGCAAGCCTCACGATGGTATTATTTCCATAGGGCGTGCCCGTAACCCATATAACCAAGTCAGCAGCATTGCATAGCTCTAAATTTCCATCACCAGTGAGGTGAAGATATCCAGGAGAAACGGTGACTGGTGCAAGGTTGTTAAGGACCCATAATGCTGTCTTATCTGTGATGTTATGGTACCAAATCCCAACATAAGCGTTACTTGCATCCCCAGGGTTGAAGAAGCCAAGCTCGAATTTTCCATTTGCGGAGATCAGGTTCTGCCCGTCGTAAAAATATTCACCTGGAACTATCGTGTCTCCTGGAGTGAGCAGATTTAAAGTGATTTTAGGATACGGTAACATGCACTACAATCATTAGAATGTTCATGTACTTTGAATGATTTTAGGACACCAAGATTTGCCATCTCAGGAACATGCTCAGCTTGATCATGAAAGGAGTGCAATGTACTGACTTACCATGAGACGTTGTTGTTCGAGGGACTAGAGTTCCTCCCAAGAGTCGGAATACCTCCGACCATTGTCCTTGGACAAGAATCCAAGAGGGCAAGCATTGATCACCATGAGCATGCAACATTGTGGTGAGATCACAAGATGGGTCATACAAGGCCAATAATCAGCAAGATGGTGAGAGGAAAACAGAGAGAGTAAACAGTAGACTGTTTTCGGGTCAGCCTGTAGTATTTACTCGTCCAGCCAAAGATTAAAATTGGACCAAATGGTCCGACATCATTTTCTAAAGTATTATTAACCAATGGTATTATTATATTGATTTCCCAAAGGCACAAGATCAAGATTTGAATCCTTCTTTTGTACAACTTGATCCCTCTTCAATCTTAATGCATATGCTAATGATATTACGTCTATCCCATATATGATGTACAAGCAAGACAAGAAAAAATCGATAAATTGTGTATGCTGGGATAGCACGGGGATCGATGGAACGAAATATTTGGGCGGTGGAGTGAGGACAGCTTTTTTTTGACGGGCAGGTTCTCAAAATCCAATTTTTTGTGATGGTATAGCCACACAAAAGAAACTTTAGCCCTAATTGTTGCGATCGGTGGCAAAGAGACCGCTCGAATAAACGTTGGGTTGAGAGAAACTCGCACTCGAACAAGTGGGCTGCAACGCTGGGCAACGGGAAAGCTTCACCACTCCGTCGGTGGTAGGACTGAAGGAAACGGAGAGGGGGAGGAGAAGATGGAGCCGGCCGTAGTCGCGGGGAAGGAGAAGAAGTGGAAAGGCGATAAAAACTTACGCTCAACCGTGAGCGGAACTCTAGTCTCTCGAATTCTCTGACATGCCGCCCCTCAATTATCGCTAATTACACATTATATTATCCATATTACCCTTATAATTAATTATCTTTAATGTTTTGATCCCTTTATTTAAAAGTATTATTCTGACATTCCTATAATTTCAAAAATAAAACATCTAAGATTCGTTTACACTAATATCATCAAAAATAAATGATACAAAAATAATTTTAAATTCTGATTGATGATAGAAAATGATGTCGATGGGAACGGAGGATGATATCACTAGGGGCTGGAGCTCTTGTCGGCCCCCTGACACAATCACCAAGTGGTATCGTTTAGCATCTACATTGATGTCGTTGAGGGTCGAAGCTCCTATCGTTTCTCTACTATTGACATAATTGTTGAGCAATATTGTTCAATATTTATGTGTGTCGTTAGGGGTTGGAGTTCCTATTGCTCCCCCCGCAACTGACATAGTTGTTAGGCTATATTGCTCAACAATTATTGACAGTGGACCGAGCAACAAAAGCTTCGGCCCCCAATAGTGTTATCCTATGTCATCATCAAAATATTCTTTTTATGACATTATAATAAATGGATCTAGATATTTCTTTTTTATTTTTTATTTTTTGGATCTAGATATTTTATTTTTATAAGGATAACAAGATATTTTTTTTTAAGTATAGAGAGCAAAATACAAAAGATAATTAAGGGGTAATATGCAAAAGATATAAGAACATTAAAGGCTGAAACATGAAACGATCATAATAAAGTGTTCGAAACTTAATGATCATACCGAAGTATCTACTGGCAGCGGACGCATGGGAGGCAGAGAGCAAGTACTTGCGGCTGGATTCTTGGGTGTCGTTGGCCGTGCAGTAGCCGTTGTTGCAGAAGGGATCGGCAGTGGTGGTGGAGGAAAGAGAACAGCGGAGGAGGAGGGAGACGAGAAAGAAAGGGAAGACAAAGGAAGCGGAGGACATGATTGAGCAGATGCATGGTGGATTGGATTCATGGTGGTAATATTGGAGCTGGAGACGGATCGTTCAACGTCACACTTAAAGAGAATTCAACATCTCATTGCAAACACTATCGACTTGTCAAAATCCATCTCCATCACTCTGGAGATGCATGTAATGGGAACATCGGAGGATGCTCGATGTCACACTTTGGGAATTCAATATCTCATTAGAAAGACCACCGACCTGTTAAAATCCATCTCCGTCACTTTTATATCGTGGTGCGGTACTGATGAAGAATTCCCGCGGAACACGTTTGTGGTCTCTGTTCATCCAATAATTTCTCTCTTAGTCAGCAGTCTCCGGTCAAGGCTAAGTGTGGAAAGATTGAGCAAACATGATTCTCATGGTCGAGGGTAAAGTGTGGGAAGATTGACCAGTGGGGAAGGTTTGCATCCCTGCCGGTGGTCAAAGAGTCTGATGATTTTTGAAGCCTTAAATTATTTTGAAATCTGATTTCTTAATATTTTTTTGATCATTGGATTCTCCATTCTCCCATTAACTTGAAACCTGCCTTATAATGTCTTCTATACAAAATTATTCAGAATCTTATTATAATAAATATCCTTTAAGATTGTTGATAGATTTAAAAGGTGTCGATTAGCATAGCTTATAAAAAAATTGATAGGTCATCACAAGGTCTCGGATGCTATGACCCTGAAAACTTTTGACTTCAGAAGAGTGTCAAGATGCTGATTGCCGAGACCGAGCTTGCCGACCTCTAAGGAACTATGAAGATTCATGCATAATTCCTTTAATTTTTGATCTCTCTCTCTGATTTTTCGAGTGCGATTTGACCGTAATAAATTTAGTAACATTAATGCCGATGTCTCATTCGTTAGGAATAACGGATTTGATGATCACAACGAGTCCATAATTTCTCTTACGAAAGAAGACAAAGTTGATGCTTGCTACCGAAACACGAGTCACCGTGGAAAGAGTCAGTAAATACCTGGTTGGATTTCCTCATATATATATATATATATAGTAATAACTTATTTAATTTGGTGTGAGTTTTTAGAAAAATGAGTTGGATTGCTGACATCAGTCTTCTACAAGACTAAGTTGATTTGTCTCTAGCTTCTATTTTGACACCTCATTAGTGTATTTGTGGGTTTGAATGGTTGGGAGGACTATATCGACTAGAAATTTAACCTTAGTCTTATAAACAAGATAAAGAGCTGATTCACTTGTAGATGTCTTCCGTGTGATTCGATAACTCCGAAGAGTACTAAGAAGCTTGTAGACTCTAAGTTTCTTTAGCTTTGACAACCCTTTTATTTAGGCCTTTATATAGCTCAATTTATGATTTTTTTTTTTTTTAGATTTGGGGTGCACTATTGTAAGGGAAATGTATTTGCGACATCGCATGCACAGCAAAAAACAGAAAATAAAAATCATTAAATTTTTTAAAAATATATTCATCGTCGTGCGAAAATTAATGTGTAAAATCTGTGAAACTGAATACAACGCGTGAGATAGTTGTGTTACCTAGGGAGATCGTATATCCCTGAATCCCTACAGATATGTAGGAGAGGATGAATGAGGTCAAGGGTTCTCATCTCTAGCGATGATCCACACAATAGGGCTGCAATGATGTTCTTCGAATCGCTACTCAAATCTCCATACATGTTATCTGAGGAAGAGAAGAGAATAGGAGGTGACAAAAAAAAACCTCTAGCTTATGAGCATTTGGTTCCCTCCTATTTATAGAGGTCAACATAACCATAATAGATCCTGCCCTATTGGGTATTAGATCTTCATCTAACTACCCAAGCCTCTTAGATTAGTGGATCTCTATCCAAGAATCTCTTATTGGCTTTTATTGGATCGCATCCATAGGATCTAATAATTCAGGGGCTTCTTAAATATCCAATAAGATAGGGGCTCCGACAGATATCTCATATCCGAACCTCTACTCATCGCAACGCCTACCATATATGTGTGACCCTCTAGGCCCAATATCGAGTTGACTGTGAGTCATACCTATCAGAACTCCTTCTGGCTCAGTGAATTATTATCTCCATAATAATTCACTTGACTCATCGACTATAGACGTACTAGGCCATGACGCCACGGTCCCCAGACAATATAAGGGAATCCAATCAATTGGACATATTTATCCTCAGTTACTGTGTACTATAGTCCCTCATCTATCTAATACCCTTGGGATCGTATACCAGGCATGGTACTGTCAGGTCCATACAATTTCTACTCGAGTCTCGCTCTAATCATATTCTCCTAGAGAACTCTTTCTCTCTCAATCTGAATGAACTTAGCTAGGGATTTGTTTGAGCAAGAATACATGAGATATTCCTCTCATGACATATAGAGTGGATGATCCTATATTGATACTTAATAGTCCTCGTATGGTTGGTTGCCACTCCTGATGACCAGTTGTGCTAGATCTGAAACTTTCAGGCCTATAAGTCTAGTATCAAAGAATGAAGTATTCATATAGGACATCCTTGATATCTCAAGTCTAAGGACCAGGTACACCATTGGAATAATGAAATCGCTATTTGACAATGAGGTATTATTAACCATCCAGCATTCAATGAGCGGATCAATAAGTGAACTTATTCTCCAATGAACACTTGCATTGTATCCCTAGTGTCTCCACACGAGCAACTATAAGACCAGCCGCCTCCATCATATGTATGGGTATATAGTGTTGGGAAATCTTGGGGGCGACATCACATGCACAGCGGAAGAACAAAAAACAAAATCTCCAATTCTCAAAGATACGTTCGTCGTCGTGCGAAGATTTGTGCACAAAAATCCACGAAATAGAAAACCATGTATGAGATAGATTATGTTACCTAGGGAGATCGTATATCCCTGAATCCTTGCAGATCTCTCGGAGAGGGTGAAGGAGGTCAAGCGCCCTCCTCTCTAGCGGTGATCCATACAATATGACTGCGATGACGCTCCTCAAAACTTCAGGCCTGCTCTAAGGTGGAGAGAGGGAGGAGAATAGGAGAAGCAACCAAAAAGCTCTAGCGTATGAACCACTAGTTCTCTCCTATTTATAGAGGTCCTTTCAAATTAACCATAATGAATCCTCCCCTATTGGGTATTTTATCTCCATCGAACTACCTAAGCCTATTAGATTAGTGGATCTCTATCCAATAATCTCTCTTGGGCTCTTATTGGATCTCATCCATAGGATCCAATAATTCAGGGGTTTATTGGATACCCACTAACATAGGGGCTCCGGCGGATATCTCATATCCGAACCTCTATTCATTATAATGTATACCATATGTGTGTCCCTCTAAGCCCAATATCGAGTTGGTCGTGAGTCAGACTTGTCAGAACTCCTTCTGGCTCAATGAATTATTATCTCCATAATAATTCACTCGACTCATCGACTACAGACATACTATGCCACTACGCCGTAGTCCCTAGACGATACAGGGGAATATAATCCATTGGACCTATCTGTCCTCAATTACCGTGTACCTATAGTCTCTCATTCATCTAATATTCCAGAGACCGTATACTGGGCATGGTGCTGTCAGACCAATACAGTTTCTAATCGAGTCTTACTCTAGTCGGATTCTCTTGGAGAACTCTTTTTTCTCTCAATCCGAATGAACCTAGTCAAAGATTTATCTGAGCAAAAACTTATGGAACATTCCTCTCATGACACCGAGAGTAGATGATCCTCTATCGATAGTCAATAGCCCTCGTAAAGTTGACTACCACTCCTGATGTTCGACTATGTTAGATTTGGGATATCCAAACCTATAAGTCCGGTATCAAAGAGTGGAGCACTCATACAGGACATCCTAGGTGTCTCAAGTCTATGGATCAGATACACCACTGGGATTATGGAATCACTATATGACAATAAAGCATCATCAACCATTCAACATTCCGTAAGTGGATCAATTAGTGAACTCATTCCTCAATAAGCACCTGTATTGTATCCCTAGTGTTCCCACACGAGCAACTGTGAGACCAACTGC